TCCAATTATTCTTTGCGCTGATTTATTTTGTTTAAATATAATTCTATTGTTTCCTAAATATTTCATTAAAATAAGTTCCGTGCTAGAATTTATAACAAGAATTATACATTTATAAATTCATATTTTTTAAAATATCGCACTTTTAGGAAAATTGGTTGATATTATAATATTTGATTTAAAAATTGTAGTTGATTATGCGTAACTTAGAAAGAAAAAAATTTATTTCTACAATAATTTGCAGAAATGCAATATATAGATAATTATAGATTTTCAACTGTATAATCTTTTCTGCAATAAACATTATTTGTAATAAAACTATTCAGAATTAAATAATAAACAACAATTACGTATTAATATGAAAATTCTTATTTAATTTTTCTTATATTTTGTGAATCGTATTTACTTCACATTCTCCAAAGAAATTTTAATATTTGAATTTTAACTGTATGATAAGTTTTATTTAAGTAATTGTTAACAAGCAATGCAAATATACATTGCTATTTGCATTTATTTGCACATTGCAATGCTACTTGATGATAATAGAAAGAAGAAAAAAATTTGTATTCGGTAATGATTATTAATAAAAGAAAGTTACCCACATAAAACTACAAAGATTTAAAAATACAGCGATTAAAATATAATGGATTGCTTAAAAACTTTTTCGTTAAAAAGTGTTTAAGATTATAAATATATCACACACTCTGTATTGCGAAATGTAATTCATAATATGAATAATACTCCGTAATGCGAAATTTTTAATTCCAGGTTGATTTTCAAACTTTTAGATCCATTTCAATTCTTTCTTGTAAGACAGAATTCACTTTAATCCTGCTATTGGAATAATCCGGCTTAAAAAATTAGTTTTTTTAGGAAGTAAAATATGTTAAACCCTCTTTTGCTCCATATTTGAAATTCAAATGTGCCATATTGTAGCTAATTTTTTAATAAAAATTAGAATTTAAAAACTGTTTATCTAATCCAACGTGAGAAATGCAAAGTGACTTTAATATTTTATAATATTTTATTATATATAAAAAAATAAAAAGTATAAGATTTTTCCAATTTTTAAAATTAAAAATTAAATTTTGCAAAACAAATTTCTTTAAATCTTTTTGATTAATTCATAAACTACATATAAATTTATAAAATAAAAAACCTTAATCAAAAATTAAATCCCAAATTCCAGTGTTAAAAATTTCAAAGAATAAAACAATTTTTTAATTTATTTAATTATTAAAAAATTTCACTATTCAAAAATTTCTAATATTTATAATTATGAGAAATTTCTGTATGCTCGGCAATGCTATTCGTGCACATGACCGCAAGAAATCAAACCATGTTGCTTTCGTATAGAACAAGTAGACAAAGACGACCAGCGGTTAAAGTCATGGACGACAATTACCACGAGGGTGATTCGGTGCTATCGAAAATTAACTGCGCTGACTCGGACCAATGTGATCCCCTGGCAATAGTACATTATTGTACTAGGCTCTAGCACACGATGGCTAGTACACACACGTTGAGCTAGAGCCTGTATCGTACATCTTCATTATCAGAACGATCCTTAATCCTTAAATTGGATTACATAAGCACACTCTTGCAGTTTTGTATTAAAAATGGAATGGATAATTGTGTTTCATAAAAATGGAATGTGTAATTTATGTGTCATATCCGCCGTAATGATACATAGCGTATTTTATACGTAAATCTAAAATCCTCGAGAAATTGTAGAAATATTTTGAATGCGATGTTACGAGAAAAGTATGTGTTGAAATTGTATTGTAAAAATCTGTCACAAGCTATTCATAAACCTCTACATGAAATATTTGCTGCGTTGCTCCAACACATTGCATTACGTAAAATAAGCTTTCATTTTTAATAGTATCATTACACGTAATGCTATTCACCGCAATCGATATGAATATTTTGCTCTAATTTATATATTATTTATTGCCAGTTTACATGAAATTTTATATTAAAATAAATAGAAAAAACATATGCCATAGAAGGAGTGCGATATTGTGCCAGAATATATCAATGCCTGATGCATTTCGTAATTCGATGCATCGCGCGGCGGTGCGCGTTTTGCATATTTTAAGCGGAATGTCAATTTCGCGAATCAATACAGGCAATGCCGCGCACCAAGATATTCCAGGTAACAAAAGCAATTTGGAGTATTCCCCGTGGCAAATGAGGCGCCTCTGATTAACACACATTGGCTCAATTACACGGGTTAGCCGAGGGAACACGAAATTGCCTGCTATTAACGGTGGCGCGAGGGTGGATAGACATACGAGATATATCAACCGGATAACACGACGATACGTTGAAAGCCATAGAACGTAATGGGATACTGCGGAACAAAATGTTTCACTATTTTCTTCCTTTGCGCTAATTTAGGCCACCAAGTTTGCGCGCGCAACTATTCGCGGAGGCAAACCGCCGAATTAGCGACGAAAGCGGCGGCTAAACTGGCTCAGTGAGATACTTTGAGATGCAAACATTGATTGTAAATATAAATGCGGATAATCTCTAAAAAGTCTTTAGAGAGAAGCGGCGATACAGATAAATATAGTACTAGTCATTTGCATAATAATTTTCTTATTATGTCTGATATATTATGCTTTCAGAACATTGAAATAGCAGTTTCAAATCTGATGTTCTATGCACATTGCATTTGCAACGAGAATTACAATTAAAATATAAATCGCAAATATAAAAGATACATTTGTAAAGATTATTGTATGACTTACCCACGATCCTCTCTTCACGATCCTCTCCAAGGTCCTTTCCATGATCCTTTCTACGATCGTCTACCTTAGCTAGTACCACAGTAATGCTTATGACTACTCTTCTACCACAATGATGTTTTCCTCGACAATATAACCTAAAATAATAATCCAATTTTTTATGTAAAAAATATAAAAAATTTATAGTGTTATTCACATCTTCAATTTCAAATAGATAAAATTTCGAGTAATGGTTATTCTAAATATGCAATTTTAATGTGATAACGAATCAATATTCTCGAATGCACTATTCACGATAGAAATATAACATATATGAGATAATATAACTAATTACATTGTACAAAGCCAAAAAGTCGTACATTGCATTCTTGCACAATTAATTTGTTAATTATAATTAACAATTATAATTAACAAATAAAGTAATTACAGATGTGGTGAAAACAATACAGATTTTACAGAATATTAATAAATTTACCTTACTTTATGAATGCGGTATGAATTTGTGCAATTGCATCGTAGTTTGTTCACCGCCCAGCAGAGGACACTACCCTCTACTTATGAGTGCTGTCGAAAGATAATGTAGATTTATTTTTTGCCAAGAGTTATCGACAAATGTAATTATGATTATAAATAAAATTATATATGAAACTTTTGCACACAAAATCCATTTTATATTATTAACAAAAAGCTAAACCAATCTTAGTGCAGTACATAATACAAGACAACAGTCAATATAAAACAAGGAAATTCCAATATATTTTATTATTTGACCATTGATAAAAATTAATTAGTTGACATTTTAATTATTGTAAGTAGAATCATTAGATATGATTATTAATTCACCATTTATTACGCTCCGCATCAGGAATCTAATTATAGTACAATGTGGTCAAAATATCATGATTAAAGTTAATTAATCAAATAATAATTATGAAATTATTCATCACCCGATATTTCTTCCTCGCCTTTGCTTGCCTTTATTGCTGACCTAAACTATTCTATGGTATTAATTATTACTTACGATACGATTGGCCAATTGATACTCCAGTATTTTGTAGCAACTGCTTCGGCAATATGTTGTAGAAAGTATCATTAATGATTGTCAATCACTAGTCAAAAAGATTTAAACGCGAATATTATTGCAAGAATTGATTTTCATCATGTGCCTGTATCATTATATTGATCGGCAATATATTTGGATTCTTTGACGCATGATTATACATGAGACGCATTTTAAAATGTATAAATAACGCAGAAAGCAACGATCGCGCGTAACTGCTCGACATCTTGCTTTTTCCGAGATACAAAGTGTAACGGCACTTTCGTATTGTTCAAAGATTCAGCGAGAACCGATACGACGCGATGAGCATCAACGCGATGAATCTAGATCAATTATTGAATGTTAAAAGACTATACGTACCAATTAATATTCTACAATAACAGCCTGTTGCTCTTTTCTACAATAATGGTTTGAAACTCTTTGGCGCTCAAAATTTTCTTTATATGAAGAGAGGTGCGTGTACTTTCAACTTTCTTACCCCCATATCACGTCTAACAGTGCCGCCAAAAGTAAAAACGCGAAGTTGCGCATGCAATGTAGAGTAGAGGGGAGGACGCACCGCATTTATGTTTCGCGAAACGTTGCGATGACGTCATCACATTGAAATTTCAAAACAATCCGCGGTTCGTGTTATCTGTATGCTTTTATCTCTAGCTTTTAGAGTTTCCAACATTTATACTCCCCGAGTCAACATATCGATCAATGATTACAATATATTTATACGTCTTTTTATCAATCATTCATTTATGCAAATAGATTCTTATACGATCAAGTGTAAAATACGAAAAAACTTTAAGCCGAATTATGAATGCGTCAGCAGGCAAGATCTCGCGCAGAATATAACAATTTATAAACGCATATTAATCGAATATTGAAAATACAACACGTTCTAATTAATACTTTGTATTAATCAATAATTATTCACGCGGAGTATATAATACATCCCAGTTTGTAAAATTCAATAAATTAATTACGTAAAAGTTTTTTAATAGTTAATTAAACAATTTATAAATTGAAAATTATGAAATTACTTGAATATCAAATAAAAAAGTAACTTTCTTAGTTATAATATTTAAAACATGACAGTAACAGAATATTAATAACAATGTAATATTAAAGTGCAAAATACATACACTTTATGCAAGTTAATGCATTAGAAAAAGAAGAAAACATGCAAGTAATGGGTCAATTCTTTAATGCAATGTAGAAAATTATTTTTTGCAAGAAATTTGTTTTAGAAATTATATCAGTACTTACTTGTAATACTTTTTTTATGTGAAAAATTATTTATTATCACATAATAAAGCGACACCGCGTAGTATCCAATAATCAGGACTTTTTATAGTTTGCAACCAAAGTGGTGTTATTAACAATGCATAAGTTCTCTGAGGTTTTTTATATACCGGACACTAAAAAATATATATAATTATATGATGTAATTTTGTTTGTGATTATAATCAAATGTTCTCAAATCTTTTCTAATCATTTCTACACTTACTTGATATAACTTTGGGCTCTTATCTGGAGTATTATATAATGCAAAAATATGTATTACTGGCATTAATACATAAAGAACTTTATTTGCCGATTCACACAAAACGGATATTTCTTCTGTCCCAGCCAGCACCCTCCAGAAATAATCCATAAACGTAAACACCTTCCTGTTTTACAGAAAATATAATATAATTAATTTTTACAGACATGATATATGATATTTTTTTATTATTACATACAAGTGGCGGTGTTTTAATTTCTTCTGCCGTATTCCGTGAAACTTCATTGTGAAGCGTTACGTTATCCAAAGCCCACTTATGAGCTCGTGTTACTTCTTGCTTCATCGCCGTTAAAAATCCTATAAATTCAGTTCGTTAATCAAATTTTTTGAGAGAGTTAAAATTAATATTAACAACTTATGTTAATATAAAAATGTATTAGATGCCTTGAGGATTGAAAAAGCCAGTCATCCAAAATTTTGCTGGTCTCCCGCTATACAACCAAGTTGAAAACTGTTGGTTTCTCTCTAAAAGCTCTGTAAACCAGAATCCCAAGGAGGCAGATTCCCATGATCGAGCTTTCCAAACCTTTGGTATTCTGGCGTCGTATATATTATCGAAAGCATCTCGCAACTCCTAAGATGTGTTCACATTAATTCGTCTTAAAACATTCTCCTTTACAATTGTAATTAAAACAAAATTACCTCATTCATTATAATTACACCTTCTACCGCCAACAGAAGATCCTTGAGTGTAATGCGCACTAATTTTATAACAATTTGTATCCTGTCGATTTCTTGTTTTAAAAATATATTCATCGGAGCAGTATGACCCATTACGCGTAATCTGTGATAAGAAATAAAAAAATTCGTCATTATTTTATAAATTGCTACAAAAAATAATCAATAGCTGGAATACAAAAATAAAAAAAATTAACGAACCTTTCCTTAACTTCAAACATGTCATACAATGCTGGAACCTTGTTTAACATTTCATTTGTTAGTCTTGTAACAACCACTTCGCGAGATTCTGCGCCAACAGCACCCGCTTCTTTCGGTTGCACAGATACTATTATATCCAGTACAGTCTGCGTGGTGTTACTTTGATACCTGATAATGCAATATAATTTTTCCATTACTTCGCATAAACATTTACATATATCTGTATGTACATATTTTTTCTCAATAATATCTTACGTGATATCTGCATTCGGATGCAAGCCATATACTTGTGGCGGATCTATTGTGCTCATGGCATCTATTGCTTTCAGATACTCACTTATTTGCTTAAATATCAACATCGAATAGCCTTTGTAGAAGGCGAAACCTTCCGCAAAAAGCGCATCCGTAAACCACACCTTTGCGAATGTGTTTAACAATCTTTTATCATAATCGTCCGTTACGCGTCCGCCATATTGCACTTCACCTATCATATAACTAAAAATGTAAGAGTACATAAAATTAACATCGCAAAAAACGAAACTAAACAAGATTTTTTAAATTTATATTTACCGTATAATCTGCCAATTTATACCGTGTTTTGCATCATAATCATTTAAATGATTATTGATAAACATGCAGGATGCCAACCAGTCCGCCGAATTGAATTCGTAAGGTATGTTCCATCCCAGAGGACCGAATTTCCGTCTTTCCTGAACAACGGTGTGCAGAAAAGACACGGTGTATATTAGCGGTATATATTGCACAGCGTCACATTGGTCCAGCATTTCCTGATTCATACCACTGTACGTCGCCAATAAACCCGCGCGTATTCCTAACGCAAAAATCATATCTTGATTATGCCGCTTTTATTCCCTTGCATAAAGAGACACATTTTTATTCAAGGAAATAAAAATAGATGCCTTGCGGGGGTTCATATGTATATTTTATAGACATTTGCAGCAAGGAAACTGGAAAGTCTTTGTGCGGCTCTGTCGTGATCCATACGCGGAAATCCGGATGAGGCGCTTCCATTTCTAAAAGAAAGTTCACCAATTCCGTCATGTACTCCAAGCCCAAGTGACAATTTTGGCAGAGAGCCCAAAAACCCTGTAAAATACAATTAAATTAAAATTAATGTTTAATACTTATCACAATGCAAAAATAAATTTTTTTTTCTATAACATACTTCAGTTTTTGCGCTATGGAGCAGACGACGAGCATGAACTTCCTGACCTTGTCCCATCGATATGCTTTTACATATGATTTCCATTTTTTTTGCCAGTTGCTCGATACTAGGCGTAGGATCCGATCCCATACTTAAGAAACAGATCATCGGTGTATTTGGTCTTGATTCGCTATGCATCACATCCAGAAGCGTAATTACCGGCTCTGCATATTTTGCTCCTAAAGAAGATGCTATGTATTTCCTAGATTGCGACAGTGCTCGGTCCATGCACCAGGCTCTACAAATATATTTGTTCACTTGAAACTTCAAATAATGCAAATAGCAATAAATTATAGATGTAAATTTTAATATTTTGAATTTTTAATCAATTTTTTGAAAGCATTTGTCTATACTTAGTGCTTTCATTCTGAGATACTTGAACTTTCGAAAATATTTTATAATTCGCGTCTTGTCTTCTTTATATGTAATAATTTTTTTTGCCACGAAAATATACTGGATTACCTTATTAAAAGCAATCGACGGAATGTATCCAAAATATTGTAACCATCTGGTATAACTTCCTCCTCTGGTGTATCTTTGTCGAACCAATGTTTCCAAAGTTTCTCCGAAGCGGGTACTTGAGAGACAATGTATTGAAATTGTCGTAATGATGACAGTGCAACTAGATTAAGCCATGTTACATCCGTGATCCATTTGCAAGGTTTCGGGTCAACGGCTTTTAAGTCCAACGCCGCACCGCCTTTAATGAGATACTGGAATTCTTCGTACATAATGCTAGCGCGTTGCAGATCGATTTTTAATGTCATCAGCAAAATAAACATATATTTATGTATCTCGTAGAGTCCGCGCGATTTGTACTTAAATATGTCATATGTTAAATATTCGATAATGTGATTTATTCTTCTCTGAGTAATTACACTCGTCTCGGACCTAATCAAGAATAAAGATACGGATTATATCTTGGCAGAATAAAATTTATATTTACGATATGAGAGACATCGAGACATTAGATGAAATATTTACCTCGCCATAGAGATATCAAATCGTTCCAAAAATTGAACGAGAGACGTTTGGTACATGCAGTTGACGTGCGGCATGTCGCATATCAAGAAATACAAGACGCTACCGCGCGTTGCAACCGGTCGAAATTGTTCACGTGCTGTATCGATTTTTAACTCCGTGTCTTTCGCGATACTCAGCTTTTCGTTGATTTCCGCCGCTGTCTGCTTCGTGATATTTAATACCGACATTAATTCAGTGTCTTCTATCAAAGGGCCCTGTAAAAAGAAATGTGAAATAAAAATGTTATTAATTTTGATATATTTCAGAGTTATTTAATTAACACTGCAAAGAGAATGGAGTGCATACCTGTACAGTTGCCAATTTATGCAAAAGATTCGCTTCCAATTCTTTAATCTTTCTGTTATTTGCAGTTACGTCGGCAATTAATTGCGTTCTCTCTGTCTCCAACTCCTTTTTCTCTGTTAAAATGACTCTTCCTAAAAGTTGATCCTCCAGACCTGTGAGAATAAGGCAATTGAAGTATAATCAACTGAACAAAATTGTAATTTAAAAAGTTATATTTATAAAACACTGTGCAAATAACATGCTATTTTTTACCTTTCATCGTAACGGTGAAATCGATTATTGATGTACGAGCAAATATTTCTGGAGTATAAAAAGGATTTGGCAATTTCGTTGTAATGTAAAGTCTAAAGTCCTTGCTAACGTCTATTTCTTTATCGCCCAATTTGACCTATTATAATAATAATTAGCTCAAATTATATAAAACTACGTAAAGTATTTTTGCCAAAATATCCTCTTGCCTTTAAAGAAGTTCCTATTTTTATAAAATTCTTTTCTAGCAAATTATCCAATACTGGATCTATCTCTTCTCCTACATCTTGTATCAATAATGGCCGACCTATTGACACAGCATCTTCTAAATGATTTCTAAAATATTTATGCGCAAACCATGTTATCTGGAAAACGTCATTACAAATTAAATCAACTTTATTACATTTAGCACACAATTACACCCTTTTACCTGTAAATCTAAATCCGTTTCTTTATTTTTAATCCATGTCTTTCCTTGCAATTGTGGATCGATCAAAAGAGGATACCGTGATGCTTTCGTTACGATTATTCCATTCTGAACTGATAATTCATCCGTCGGCAAGCCTTGCAAACTCCAATCGCCGATCTATAATGGATTAAACACTCATTCAATCAAGACACAAATATTAATTATGATTCTTCTTACTAAAAAATAATTCAAAAAGTTCTTTTACTTTTTTATTTTCTCTCGTACTTACCGTCGCTGTGTCTGTCAACGTATTAACAATATTTATAGCAATAGAAATCGGGATTTTTCTATCTTGTATGAAACCAAACCATGTTCTTTGCAAAAGAATCCGGAATTCTTGATTAAATGGTCCGCAATAAGATAAAAATCCTGTTAACACCAACACATCTCCGACAAGACGATCTGTTTCTGATTTAAACATAGCTACTTGATCTGTCCATCGTATTCTCTCGCCGGATAATCCTTCAAGCATGGCGCTTGCGGTATCCATTTTTGCTTGGCAAATTGCAGCTTGATCGATTATTGTCTAAAAATAAATATAAGATGCACATATGATATTATTATCTAATATATCATTATTGTTGTTATCGCACCTGCCGTTCCTGCATCACCGCGTCGAATTCACTTTGCACTATCTTTAAATCATCGTCCTTTGCTTTCAGTAATTCTTCGGCTTCGCATAAATTTTTGTTGGCTTTTTCGTATTTGCTTTCTTGTATGACAAGATTTGCCTATAAAATTATTTTTTATTACTATACATATATATATATATATATATATATATATATATATATAATTTTTATGGAATAATTAGAACATATAAGAAATTAAAAAAAAAGTGCTATAGATTTAAATATCAAACATTTTCTTTTTAGTTACAAAACATGGAGTGACACATTGGCTGTTTTATTTCACAATGTTTATTAATTGGAAATACCTTTAAAGGCAGCACATCTTTATTTATTCCGTAAAAAGTAACCATAGAGATGGTCCACTGTATGAGACCCGCCACGTTTCCGCAAGCTTGCTTTGCGGCTTCGTAAGTATACATGTGGAAATTTAAGTACGGCATCATCAAATCAACAGTTTCACAGTTAATGTTATCCTTTGGAAAATTTTTGTAAGTTATACAAAAATCTAGTATCAGCCAAAACCTGTAAAAAGTGAAATAATATATTAATATAAGGAGTGCGTCATTTTTAATATATTATCCATTAGTAAAAAAATTAATTCAATTATTAAAACATGCATAAAATCACCTTCAACGACTCTGACCAAGAAGGTGTTAAAAATTGATGCTCGTAATCAGGTTTAACTGGTTCCAGCTTTCGTCCGAATAAAATCAGAACACAATCCATTATGAGCGTAATTAAGAACGGTGGTTTAGCCAATTTTCTAACAGTAGCAATATCTGCTGCTTTTATGGTCTAAAATATAAGCATTGCCATTAATAAACGTTTGTATTAGTAAATTATTAATAATAATACCAGTAATGCAGCTTCAGCTTCTAATAAGGCAGGCTCCGCGACTTTCAATTTTTGTTCTGCCACTGATTTGTCTTTTGCTATCGTTTTTAGAATTGTTTCCGCCTCATCTTTCGAAACTTGCACTTTTGCTTTCACCCTTTCGGCTTCTCCCTTTTTCTCGTTTACATCAACCAATAGCTAAATGTGTTATATTATTATGTGCAAAGAGAGAACTAGAATATATTTTTAAAAAATTTTATAGATATTTTATATAAAAATATTGCTTACCGCATCCACTTGAACATTTTTTACTGCAATTTCCTCTTGATTTTTTTCTAATTCCTTCCGTAACACATCGACTTGAGCTGCAGCATCGATTAATTTATTTAAGCCATTGCTCATGCGAGAAGCAAGCGTATTAATGTTATCCAAATGTTGTTTGTAAAGCGTTTTATAGCTGTCGAGAAAGGCCAAAAACGATTTTGGAGTCACATATATTTGACGTCGGAATCTGCAATTATTTAAATTAAATTAATTAAGTTTTACAACTTCCACAAATAGTAGAATGCTATTGAGAAAATTATACCTATCGAAATATTCTGCGCAGGTGTCGTTTACATTGTCCTGAATGTCGCCCACAACTTGTATTAATTGTTGTTTTACTTCTGGACCGCATATAACTTTATATTTGCCTAGGAAATGTTCACCGACCGCGTATAATGCGTCCCTTGGCCATCTTGAAAACCAATTCATTGTGCAACCAGATATAAGACCAGGAAATTTCAATGCTCGAGATCTAAACTTTTCACCGACCTGTATAAATAATATTGAATTTAATAATCTGAAACAAGAATAAAAAAATAATATTTTTAAATTGTTTTAATAATGATAGAGCAAAGAAACCTACTGGTGAAAAACATAAAACTATGTGCAAATTATTTCTCGCTTGCGATATAAAATAATCATAAAGATTGTCCTGCGTCGGAGGACGTCGGGGATCGTCCTTCTTCATTAGCGGTGCGACAATTGTCAGAATGTCATCTAGCTCATCTTTTGGAAAAAGATTGGCCACCTCGCCGACACTTAGCACGTTGTTAATGTATTCCAAGAATGCTTCATCTTTTATTTCATTGTCGGTAAAAATAAATGTAAGACCTTTGCTTCCTGTACCAGCGGTACGATATAATTTTCGCAAATCGTCCAGTAAACTAGCCACATTATAAATCCTGAAAAATATAATCACAGTCATATTAACTTTTCATATATTTTTAATCAAACGCAAAAAACATTAACGCAATATTTTAACAATCATGTACATAAGCATTTTTCAAAACCAGAAGATTCAGATTTTAATTGCAAGAAATAAAGCCAAAAATTATACTTTTAGAATTATATCGTACAGCAACTTTCTTCATAATATTTTACTATGCTATTAGCAAACAATTCACGTGTTTGAGTAAAATTTTAATATTTACCTGGATAACGTTATTTGAAAGAAGTTAAATCCCGCAATAAAAGATGCCAGTCGCGTTAGACTCTGCTTTCCAGATCCTCCTACACCTACGAGTAGTGCATTGCCTCTGGGAACTCCCAGTATTCTCGATATTCGTATCAAGTGCACTAGAGCGTCGTGGAAGAATACGAGATCGAGATGCATGCCGCGTATGTATTCATTAAATTGCTCCATATTTTGTTGAACTTTCGCGATAACGACATCGTAACTACGAATAACGTGGAAATATCAATGTGATTCTGCTTTTTGATCCAACGCATTAAATATAAAGTTCCGATCGATATACCTCGGTATCTCCTCGTAAATCTTAGGTGCTTCTAACGCAAAGTCTTCTGGCTCGTCACCTGTCGGTTCTGGCGGTTCGCGCAGAAAGTCGACAAAATACGTCTCGACTGGAGAATAATGTTGGAAGTCCGAACCTAACATCTTTTCCGCAGTCCGCCTTAATGTACTTTGAAACCATTCTCTATCGGCATCAGTGATAAAGCTATAAGAAATAGAAGATTTATTATTGTCGTAAAATTAAGCAAAAATATTTCTAATTTGTAATTGTAAAAACAACGAACCGATCTGCTATCACACGCGTACACTCATGCTCCCACAATTTTAGTAGCGTCGTTATGGTTTCGCATTCGTCTCTTTCTATCCTGAGTATTCCTTCCCAAATACGCGATAGATCGCGCAAGTTAAAGACGTAATGGAACTTCGCAGGAGTCGGTAACATTTTCACTTTAGTCTGTTGCCATACTATTCGAGTCAGTGGTATAAGCTTCGGCAAGAAATTGACGATTATTTCGGAAAATCTCGTGATGCAAAAGTAGCCTTGGCCGATAACGCCTACGAATATAATCGCATATTAGATAAAAATTATAACTTTTACCATTTTTTTATTAACAAGAAAATTATTCTCCTTACTGAAAATTGTGTCCATAGATTTGTTGGACGGTAAGGTACAATTAAAAATATTGAACTGTCGTTTCAATCGTGGCGGGATGTCATTTCGTCCTCCACCAGGATGACGCATTGCAGCGAGTAGCATAATATCTTGCATGATGCAGAAATCGCCCGGTTTATCTAACGAATAGAATCCTTTGTATTCCATTAACTGGCGAACGATTTCGTTTGTAATTTGATCGCCCCATTCATTTATAGTTGGCATATTTATATCGTCGATAAAAATGGTCATTTTCCGTCCGCCGGGCGGACCGTAAGTAGTGCCCATTCGCTTTTCAACGTAACTTTCAAATACGCGCTGAAAAAGTACGAAATAGTACAAAATATATAATTACATTAGAATTAAAAATTTAATTTGTAAATTTATTATGATATTTGGGATTGTTACTTGAACCATATTGGGCGTGGATGCTGAAGAGAAGTTAAAACACTTATTCAAGTGATATTCGGGATCATGCTTAAACATATAGCTCTTCATCATTACGCTTTTTGCCGTGCCTGCTTCTCCTGTTATATAAGTAATGTTAGAATAATGTTACATATGTGTGGAATTGATGTCAAACATTAGAAAAACCGATTATTAAAATTATATTAATTTTGTAAGTATCTATTTACCTATTAAAAGTACTGCTTTTTCCTGCTGTGCTATGATATCAATTAAAAATAACGTTCTTGTATTATCGACGTTAGGAACGAGGATAGTGTTGTATTCTAAAACACGATCCGGAGGATACTCGAATTTTGGCACCATTGTACTCCAATGTATCCATTTTCCATTATCTGATACCAGATATTCAAAAATAGTTTCATCTTCCTACACAAATTAAAAATTTGTAAATCATAAGAATATAAAAAAATGCTAAAAATTTAAATAATATATCATAAACTTATTATACGAACCTTATACTTTGGCCAATTACAATTTGATTCATGATTTACGAGATATTCTTGTAATGCAAATCGCCCGTCAAGTTCTAATACTGCACCTAAGCTCCACATGAGAGAAAACAAAAAGAGCTTTTCGATGTGATTCTCAGACAATACTTCTGTAAATAAAATATTTGATAAATTTTTAATAAATTCTTTTACCATCAAAATCTTCATAAAATGCAATCGTCCAAAAATTGTATATTGATATTATTAAAAATATTAAAAAATTAATGTGCTAAAAAATAAGACAATAACAAAAGATAAAACGAAAGAATTCGATAAGTTCCTTCCTATTTATAATGCTATTGCATAGCCATTTTTAATGTATAAATATTTCAAGAGAACTTGAGATTTACTAGTTGGATCCGAATTTCCAACATTCAAACCCTCCAATAGATCAATACACTGTCGTATATAAAGTGCTTCTAAAAGCGTCATTTTAGTATGAAGTTTTGTCTGAACAAATGTATGGGCATCTCCATATATTTTATGAAACAACGCTCGCAATACTGCAGCTTCGTTGATGGAACATTTTTTAAGCCAAGCCTTTATTAAAAATATTACGATATCAGTAAATTTCCGCATATACAATATTGTTATTATGAAAAGAAGGACATAGGCCTACATTACCTCTAAAATTGATTTCCATTTTAACACAGAAGCACTGATAAAGATCATTCCCATGCGTGATATAGTAGCTGGAGACGCGTTGTCCACATTGTCGGGTTCGAACACTAATTTAGAATTTGGTGCCATTACAATGCGATCTCCATTTGCCAACGTCAACGTTTTATTGTCGTCCAGAACCGAATTTAAATTTTCGATCCACACTGCATCGACAGGACCGTCCAACACAATCCACAAATTTTCCGTTTTCTTCATTTGCGTGGATCGTCGCCATATAATAGAAAATATACCATCCGTCCAATCGTTCGTTGCAACATCGAGTCTTCCGAACATTTGGGACGCAGTTATTGCCTATCAAAATTTTTGATTAAGAAAATTATTTTTGTATTAATATATCTGATAGAAATTACTATTGATAAATATTAACTTTTGGATTCATCCTAATTTCTTTGTGTGGTATACCCATTTCTGTCAGAGCTCTCATAAGTGCCCACATACATCGCGTTTTACCAGATCCTGTTGGTCCGAGAACCATTAAACCATGACGAACGAGTGATGTCTCGTACAACTGCAAACATTATTGCCATTATCCTAAATAATAATATAATTTAATTTTTCTCAGCATTTAATTTTTACAAAAATTGTTAAAAAATAGCCACATATTTCTTTTCAAATATTTAAAAAACTGCTAAGCACGAAATCCAGTATAAGACACTGAAATCAAGGAATGGTAAATAATAGATATACCTGTATGGTTTTCAAATTCCATTCACTGTGATTCATTATACCGAGAGCAACTGTAGCGTTAGCTATTGCTTTCTGTAATTCTTTATACGTCTGATTCGTTAACTTTATTCCAGGGAACATATCTTCGATAAGGGACATAAAGAGAGGCTCATCTTCATCCACTAACTTAGATAAATTCATATCGCTGAAAATTCAATGCAGGATGTACTTGAAACATTTTCGCTTTTTCTGTTCAAATAATATATTATCTAGAACAAGACGTATATATACAATATATAATTGACATTGCATATAAACTCACCGCAATACTCTCATAATCGTAGTTTCTTCGGAATCGGTGGGATGTGCGCGTTTTTGAGCGCCAAGTGTACGCAGACACGATAAAATATTTCTTAATCCAAAATCATAATGCACTTGTTTACTGAGCTGTTCCTCACACAATCTATACAATGTGAAGAATTTCCGCGCTAATACTACGTTCTCTTTAAAGCCACATGCCGCGAGTTTCACCCGCATTATAATCTAAACAAACGAAATTAAATTTATGCGACGTACTTATTACATTAAATTTTATGAGAAAATTTATAATTCTTAATTTTTATCAGGAAGCGTAGTTTTAATTTCAACGTACTTGTCTGTCAGGAACCATCATAGCTACACTTCTAAATTGTATTTTCAAATTTTCCGGTAGTTCTTGCCGACCAGCGTATCCCGGATTCATCGTAATAAATAACCCAAATTCATAATTCAGCTTATATGTTTCGCCATCGCTATATAAAACATAGTCAAATACCAAAAAAAAAAAAAAAAAATAAAGATTCTCTTATAATTTAAAATAAAAATACTGTGCAATAAATTATATATATATATATATATTATATTATATATATTAACAAAAAAAATACTAAACTCTTATAAAAAATAAATAAATTTAAAAAAAGAATAGAACTTGTTTTACAAAGATATAAATTTTTATACCTAAACAAAAAGCTCGTTTTCCGTTCTTTTCGTGCATTGAGTACAATAGCTATTTGCTGCGCAGCTACAGATAATACCGGTAAATCAATTCGATTAAATTCATCAAAGCATCCCCAAGTACCGGATTGTGCTAATCCCTTAAATATTCTCCCTAAACCTCGAAAATCCATTTGATCAGAGCAATTAAAAACAACGACATATTTTCCCAGTGCTTTTCCCATATCTTTCGTCGTTTCTGTTTTACCCGTGCCAGCAGGGCCTGCGGGAGCTCCGCCAAAATTCATTCCTGAGAAAAATATTTGCAAAAATCATAATAAATGAAATAACGAGGTAAATGACAATGACACTTGACGTTAAACGCTACTTTACATTTTTCCTTTGGCATCATACCTACAGCCTGTGCCAGTGTTATATAACATCTGTCTGTGAGCGGTGTAATCGCAAGTCGGTCTGTACAACCTAAGAATTCATTTTGATAGACAAATTCCACATCGGTTATTCTGATCTGGACTGCCTCCGAATCTTCATTGTAATAGAATCGACACTGTTTCAACCATTCGAAATCATGTATATTTCGAATTCTGAGACGACATAAATCGTCAAATATATCTCTGAAAAATTTGTATTAATTTATTTTCCGCAACTTTTACATAAAAAATGATAATTATGGCATTCAAAATAAATAATCACGATTAACACACCTTTGATGCACATGTATCGTTATTAAAGCTTCGTATTTTAATCTCGCATATTTTGTAAGATCCTTAACGGTTACTTCTATAAGATTATTCAACAAATCTAGGAACCACTGATTAGTCCTCTTCATTATGGTTCTGTCGCGTTTGGCTGTCGTGACCGCTATTTCACTATCGCGCGTCCATAAAACTTGTAACCCCAATAAACCCACCTACAAAAAAATAAACATCCAATTTTGGTTGATGGATGCATTTTTGTATACATTTTTGCATGCATATAATTTTACTTGTAAAACAGAATTTTCTATCAATGACAAAATGTCGAATTCAGGTGTACGAAGTGATTGCAATCCTAACGAAATTACGTCGCCAATTGATTGCTGATGAACCGTTAACAAAGTGTTTAACCAGTTCTCTACACCTGCTATACATACGACTTCTTTTTCTAACACTACTTCTTCACCTTCCCGTGAATACATTGCTATAATTTTTTCATATTCCTTTTCGGCAAATTTCAACTGTGTACAAAAAAATATATCAAGAATCATATACAAAAATATGCAAGTTAAAGCTTATTACAGCAAAAATAATTATTATTTTTGCATTATAGAGCAGAATTTCGTAATTTTATTTGTTTACCTTTGCCAAATTATCAAAAAATCCATCAAGATAATTCTGTATCGTGTGACAATCGGCTGCTTGTCCAAGTATCTCCAACAAAGTAGGATCAGATATAAAGCAGAATCTTGGAAAAACCACTCGTTTAGTTTCCAGATAGCTGTATAAATAAAATTAATATTAGACCTTTGAAAACAATTTTATTTCTCTAATAATATAAGTATATACCCGCTAAGAGATTTCTGGCATGATTCTAATTGTTCCAATAAATGAGGCAAAAATTGGCTCATGGTTTCATCTCCGATACACGTTTCCACTGCATTCAGTTTTTCATGGGCGCGAAGCATAAGCTTAACCCAGGATTTATCGATGGTCTAAAACGTAAATAGTTAGATTTTTTGTAAATAGCGCCACCGCAATTTTTTTCGTAGTTTATTTACATTAAAGCGCTTTGCTTCGGTAGGCAATTGCTTTGATATGTCGCCGCCAATAAACACCGCTTCTAGATAAGCCCACAGATTCTGCACAGTTAACCACTTCGCCAATATCTCGGACGTGTTACTGAGCTTAACCTGCCATAACTGAATCTCTTTCTTAAACGGTACGTTGTAACTGCAGAACATTAAATAAATGTACTATTCCCTAAAGTCAATAAGTTTATATTTAGACATATATTTAATGTACCGATTTGCCAGCAAGGAACTTATAATCATTAAACTGTCTTCAAGTAGCGCTATTATCTCAGCCGTCTCGACACCTTTCAGTAATAATTCGCCTCTCTGCTTGAAAGGAGAAAACTGCAAATTTACAATTGTCCAATCTGCAATCACCTGCTTCAACTTCGTTTCGATATCTTGTTCCTTCACTGCACTAATACATATATCCTGTAATATACAATTTTTATAAATAATTTTTGTATTTTATGATTAATATCCAGAAAATCTTATGTATGTTAGTTTATACATACTTCTACATCATCTTTGTATTTTAACAAAGGCGCTTGCATAACATTTGCTAAAGTAAAAGTCTCAGATTCGACGTTAAAGAAATATCGACAAAGCTTAGACAATTTCTCCCAATGTCTATCTTTCATAGCTTTGTTAGCCATCATCTCTAATAATGGACACATCTCGTTAAAATCATCGATTTTCTTCTTTAAATCGACGAATGCTGGCCATTCTCGCATAGCTTTAGGCAACTTTCGGCATCTAAAAATAAATTGTTATTATTATAAAAAAATTTTATAACTTTATATGTATCAGCAAATCTTATTAAATCAGTTTGTTTTACTTGTTTTGGAAATCAGCCAATTCAGCTATGATTGATTCGATATCAATCTCGGACCACAGAATATCATAGTAGCCGTCAATAGTACGCATAACTTGCAAATATAGTGTATATAACTTCTGCAATAAATTAATCTCTCTTTTTCTGTGTTGTAAAGCTGGGTACTCCGTCACTTCTATGCCAAACAAACTTTCACCACTGCTATAGGTTTCGTATCTTTCCCATAATTCTTCAAAACGAGCTTGGAACAGGATGAGCCTTGAAATACAAAAACAATGCACGCAAAATTAAATAATTGTTAATATATTGTTTTACTCGGGTCACAGAAAATTATTTTTATAAAAGTCGAACGTTCTCAATTCTTGTAACTTAACGAAAATATTATATATTAATTAAACATTACCGTTCACTAGCATCTTTTGCAGGTATTCCTTCAACCATTGGGCCATAGAGTTCAAAATCAATGTCAAAGTGATCCACATTCTGTTTGAGAACTACAACACCATCAATAAGCTCTTTTTTCAACGGATCTTGCATCTTACATATTATTTCTTGAACTTGTTTTGCCTACAAAATTTAAAGCAGTATAATTTTTACAAAAACGTAAAATATATCGAAAAATAACCCTTAACCCTTTGTATATATGCGCCCACAGACCAAAATAAACTTCTTTTCCTGAGTGCATATATACGCCAACAGTACTCAAAGAATTAAGACGTCTTTTTAGGACGTTTTTAAAACACCTTTTTTAGGACGTCTTTAATCCTTTCAACAGTACTCAAAAGGTTAAGCAAAATTAAATAAAGATAGTAAATTAATACCATTTGGAGCATGTTACTAAAATTATATCTTAATCCGTCTACTATATCTTGATCTTCTTTCAATATATCGACGTTAAATTTTCCCATCAATGTGTAAGTCTCTTCGATCTGAATTAATTCCATATCTAATAATATAAAATCATCTCGTATTTCTCCCAAACATTTCATTGCAACCCGCACATCCTCTAAATCTTTAATATGTCTAGAAAGAACTTTATTTTTTTCATAAATATAATCCATGATCTTTTGTAATTTTTGCTTGTATTTATTGGACAAAATAACACCCAATGATGTTTTCCACGCATTTGCTTCAACGAGAAATGCTAATTTTAATTTGTCTGTAAAATAAATATAATGAATCAAGCATACACAAAAAATATGTTTATTAAATTAAAAATAATATTATTTTCGCATACCTGTGTTAATTTGAAGAGGGCCAAGTACATGCCGATCAGGTAAATTTTTTATTTCCGTCATTAAGTCTTCGTATTCCATAAATTTCTCTTTAATTTCTTGTATGAGAGGCTCCATGTCAATAAACGTTTGTATGATATTATTTCTATTCTCCGTCCATATGTAGGAATATCGTAAATATGACTAGCATTAAAATAAATAATTATACACTACTCCACAAAAAATAAAGAACACTTTTCAGACGCTCAAAACCAAGCAATTTTCGAACCACTGAAGTTCGACGAAAAGTCATCGTAGACAAAAAAAGTTGATAAACATTTTGTAGATAAAAAATTTTCAAAAAACGATCTAAAGAATATAAACTTCAAGCTTTAAGATATTATTCAAATTTTTTATCCGCGATGATTTTTCGCCGAATTTTAATCGTTTGAAAATTGCTCGATTTTGAGTGTCTGAAGTGTTCCCTATTGTTTGTGGAATAGTGTATTAACGTTAATTATCCCATACAACCATATAATAATAATATATAACCAGGTATGTGTTACAATTAATTTTCATACATTGCCAACTTTGAAGACGTCATCTTTCAACACTAATATTAAACCTTGCAAACTCATTGAGCTGCGAATTATATCTTTGTGATCGGACACAATTTGAAAATAGTTTTTGAGCAATTTTTCATCTAAAAATTAATTAATAATTTAAAAAATATTACGATAACATAAATAGTAAAATGTTTTGTTTTTCCAACATATACATATATAACAGAGAAAATTTATTTCAAGCGTTTAATAGTGCTATTGTCTACATTACCAAGTGGTTCAACTTGTGTAGAATATCGTTGTCCCCATATAATGACATTCTTGTTCGTTTCTATAATACTAGTGATGACTTTGCTAAAATGATTCTGTAATTCTTCTATTGTGGGTATAATCACAATGTTTGGTATTTGTAAAACAAAGTGTGTCTCCATAATTGGTATTTCTTGCTCTATTTCAATATCTTGAAACAATACGCTAAAATAGAATGCATTTATTTATGCACATTATGTTTCTATCATATATGTGTAAAAATACAAAATATAAACTTTATATAAATTTATTTAGAAAAATGGAAATATCAAAATACCTCATAATGGTTGCTTTCTTCTTTAACAAGTCCAAAGAATTTTTAGTACATTTTACCAAAGCATCTATTAATTTATTATTATAGTGTGCAAATAGTTCCATACAATCATTGTGCACTTGATTTATTTTAACTTTATGTGTTCGCTCAATATGACCAAAGCCTACATATAATTAATCACTTATTAATTGTTACTCAAAATAATGATATATATTATTATTTTCTAAACACTACGTTACCTGGTTCAAATGGTCCCTTTATTAATCTAGTTTCAGATCCCAGTTGTCTATGTACCTTTTCAGGATCCAACCAATTATACTTAACATCTTGAACAGCAGGATCAGTTATAAGATTTATAAATTTATTGATAATCATGGTGACAACTTTTTCCGCCGCAAAAGATTTTACTTCCAAGTCAATTGCAATTTTATCTCTAAAAGCTATAACGTCAGCTAAAAATTGTTCTGGACTTTTTGGATACTCATCCAGTTTTAATAACATCGATTCCGCAATGAACTCAAGTACTTCATCTACTCTCACTTCTTTCATATCAGTTATTTCCTTGACGAATATCTGAACATTTTGTATCGCTTTTTCTATTTCAGTACACGCTTTAGAAATCTTTAATGAAGACCACGAAATTACTGATAGACAGGGTTGAAAAACGATTTCGAGATCAACGAGTGCGATCTTTATTAAATTTAAAAATAAGATCGGGAAAGATTGTCTGCACACACAAACATAATAAATGCATAAATATATAATCTGTACGATAGTTTAAATCAGGATTTATTAAATAAATTTATATACCTAAGGGCATCATTTTTCTTTAGCAGTTTTTTCACTGTTTCGTAAGAAGAAAATATTTTCTCCTTGCAAAAAACTAAAACTTGTATAAAATCCGGAACTTCCAAACCAAATTTAGACATATGTTCCGATTCTTGTACCACTTCGTGTATGTAGGAATCAAAATTTAAACAATACTTGTTTGTTTTTGGATGGCGCACAATTATAGGCGACGATAATGCCAAACGAACCTAGTAATTAAAATATTTTTCAATCATTTTAATATAATAATAAATGTGTAAGCTATTTCCAAAATTTGCTATCTTTAGAAGTTTATCTTTTTAAGAAGCAAAAATTTATTGCGTATTTCAAATTTTATCAAATGTTTTTCAGTCAAAATATTTTCAAGTCTATTTATCTCAAATAACAGAAAAAAACATATCTAATAACAATTAGCTGGAAGCTTAAACATTAACTTACAATGTCAGCCGAATCGTACCACGCTTTGTGATATATTAACTCGTAATGGATGAACACGCTGATGAGCGCATTGTACATCTTAATGCACTTCTGCATAGACTCGTGAGCAATCACTTTTTGATGTGATTTAAACATACTCATAGGAACTTCAATGCGTTTCGATAATTGACGAATCCATAGGATTCTAGCAGCAATGGGTGGAATGTTCCTTGACAGGCATGGATGAGATCTATCTTCATTATATCTATCGCGAACATTTTCAATCTCTCGTTCGTACATCGTTACGAGTTCTAAGCACTTTCTATCAATTCTCAGTTGTTTAAGATTCAATTTTTGAAATCTAAAAGAGCACAAATTATAGAATATATTTCATGGCATAATTAAAGGCTCAAAAATAGTTCACAAAAACCTACCTAGTAATTATTTCTAACACCTGTGTTATATTCGGTACAAGGGCAATGAAATTGTGAAAGAATGTTCGAAGTTCAATGTCGGTTTCTGCCACACTTTTTTTATATTCATCGTAATCAGTGTCGAAATAAAATTTTCTGTGATCCAAGGGATCGTACTTTTGCGACGAAATCTTTTTGAAATAACTAGTATATTTTTGCGCGTACGTATCAATTCCTTCTATAGTGGAACTGTGCAGAATAGAGTACATCCATGCTGTTTCAAGGATGTCCATGATCTGTATTATATATCGCAAATAAAAAATAACTCAGCACAGATTTTATGACTTATTTTAATTTTCTTATTTACTTACTTTTATTATTCTTGTTTTAAAAGTGCCAAACTTTCCAAAAACATACATTTCGGATACTTCAAAGGGCTTCTCCCCGGGAGATTCTTCGACTTCCTTGCACATATTGTCGTAACATTCGTGATACGTTTCACATAGCTTAATACAATCCTGCAAAATAATTACTGATTTTATAGTTTAAATTATGCAGGATTAATTTACAAGACAAAAAGCATTAATTTTATATAATTTGCTTCATTTACCTTTATTTTAGATATCATAGTACCTTTCAATTCATCCCAAATGCTCAGTTTTCCATTCTCCGTCAAGTATGCTTTACACGCTAATATCATTTGATTTGTTATCTAAAAAAAAATAATAAATTGACATAATATAGTAAAAACAAAAAAAAAAAGACTAACGTAATTTATCGCAATAAAAATTCTTACACAACTTTGTAAATTTTATAATCAATTAATAATTGCAATTTTATAATCTTTAAAAAATAATTTTGCAATTAAAACCATCTGAATGTTTTAAATTAATATTTTTAAATTTTGATTGGTAATTAATTCCGAAAACATACCTTTACATATACTGCAGTTACCATCTTTCTTGTATTAAAAAATCGCGACGTAACGTAAATCATCCTTACAGCATACATGAGTGCTGGTAAATAATCTCCTATTTTTGTTGGATCTAATCTATACAATGGCTGTGTAAATTTTTCTAAGGAGTACAGATACTTCACATTATCTTGCGATAAAATATGTATCGTTGTGGCATGATCTTCTAATTTCTTCCATTTCTGTATGTAAAAACTTTAATTTGTATATTACTATTATTTTAAAACTGAATTCTTCTTTCTACTTTGCACTCAGCTTTTTATTGCCATTATATTTTACAAACAAAATCAAACAAATTGACAGATATAAAAAAATACAAAGCAGCGGTAATATGCACCGATTGTGAGAACAAAGAGAAATTAAAATTTATAAAAAAATATTTAAATTAAAACAAGACTTGTGCTTTGACTTCGTGAATCCCATTTCATAAAATAGCTTTCTATCGATTCAAATTTAATAATATTTTATTTATTTTTTGCCAATATGTATCTGTTTGCGCGTATAATATAATATATTTAGTTAATTAAGTATTTTATATTCTTTACCTTAATAAGTTTCGATTTCGCCTCTGTTAGCAATTTTATAAACGATTGAGTGTAAGGAGATTTTAAATGATTTATTATTGATGAAAATCGAGCAAGTAATCTCCGCCAATATGCAAGTTCCACGGACGGTCCTACAGTTTCAGTTTCTCTGCGCAATTGCTGGCTCTCAACGATAGCCTGCAAGAACGTTCGATAAAATCACAAAATCAACCTGTGTCAAGAAATATAATTAATAAAAATTATACCCGTTCCATCAATTTCATCCATATTTGGACATCAGCTTCTGCTGCTTCAATAACGTCCGGTTTACGAAGGCTTTTTCTAATTGTTTCGGGATGAGCTAAATATTTCTGATAAAGATCCCAGTTAATGTGGAAGCATATAATACTTTCCAAATCTATCTTTGTCACTATAAAAAGATAAAACAAACTGATATTTCAGCAATTAAAAATACACGTAATAATTGAATAAATATAAATTGTAAGTTATTTACTACTAAGAAATTCGCAGAAATCTTTAAAATCGCCTATAAAATCATCTCTTATCTTTCCTCCGATTTCACTTTTCGACAATTCTCCCCATTGCGTGTTAACAATTAACGTTCGTGCGTGCAATCGTGAAATTAAATCAGATATAGCTGCCAATGCACTTTTTGATATAGGATCTACTTCGGCATAAGCATAATATGTTTCCTACATAGAACGTGAAATATATGAAGCAGCATAAAAAAGTTTAGAGATAAATTCCAAAAAAAAGATGCACAAATTTCTGCGTTTTATTAATGTAAATATTAATGAAAATAATTCTGTTTTAATTATTTCTATCATTCAAAAAATGCAATGTAAATTTAAAGTAACGTGTCACGTAAACGTCAACTTTTAATTAAGATACTTGCGTCGAGTAAATGCTTGACTCCAAACTCGAGATTTGACTTTAGTCGATAAACTATAACGCATTTTCCTGAAAACTCTTCGGTGGTACCATCCGTTATGCAACAACGTACAACTTGCTGTTCTTTGCTAAGTCGCGGCGTCCATCGACCAGATTCTGAGATTGTGTAGAATTCACGTATAAAATTATGGTATAATGAAAAGACATGATCATCGTTATTCATATAACAAAGAAAAAACATCAATAAGAATATCAATCATTACCAAATGTTGGAGGACTCATAGGTTGAAAATATATAAGAATTGCTTGTCTTCCACCCTCGGCAAAAAAATTGCTAAATACATTTACATATTCATCTTTATCAAGAATCCCTTCTTCCAGCATCTCGGCGTCTGTGTTCAAAATGTATGCTACCATCTCCAAGACGTGTCGATGTGTAACTTTCAATAATCCTTGCCTAGCATTGCGAATCTCTTTGAATTTTGCCTAAAAATATAAATATCTATATTTGCGAAACGTAACCTAACCTATAATAACTTGATTACGGTAATCCCCTGCAGACCGTATAATGCATATGTAATAACATTCTTGAAAAGATGCATATGTATCGAGACTATCAATGAAAATATAATAACTCGTGAAAGTACTTACGAGACGCTCTTTTGTGCTTTCCATAGGTAAATCTTCTCGTGTACCAATTCTTCTCTTTACTAATTCAGCAATTCGCTGATTAATAGCAGGTTTTGTATAATCCCGCGACGCGGGATACGTATTTGCCATTATGACGAAAAATTGTAAAGAGAAAACTATTTAAGGGATACAATTACAATTACAGATATATTAAGCATGTGTTTCATCCTGATAATTCATAGATCAGTCAGAAATTATGCATAAAACGACATGTACAAATAAATGAACGTCGTAAAGTATTTGAAAAATTTAAAAATAAAGAGACTCTTTTTGAACATTTTTTTTACATTTACTTCACTTTTTACTCGTTGATTTACTTTTGTAATTTTTGTAAAATATTCTAATACTGTCATAAAATATAAAAATATAACAATAAAACGGTAATTTTGAAGAAATTTAATGTAATACAAATTTTTTCGAATCTGAAAAATTCTAATTTCGCTCCTAGAAGGATTATCTCTCGCGCATGCGTTTTACAGCTGTCATCGTGTAAATTGTGCATCCGACCTGGAAACAGTACGTCGCGGAAAAGAGGTTAACATAAGTCAATGTATGAATAGATAAATCACAAAATAGTTGCAATTGAAATTTTAACTTAAACTTTAGAAACATTTATTTGGCAAAATCAATGCTGTTGCTATATTTATTTTGCGGCAAAAGACGTGGTCATGTAATAGTTTTGTGACGTATGTTTGCCAAAATTACGTGAGTTGTCATTTAGCAGGTGTACGATCAGCTGTGACATTGAATTATTTCAATATTTACTTATCTAATATTCAGATCACATTAAAAATCTAGATAATGGGATGTGAATGCCATTTGCTGAAAAGCTTAATTATAAATAAACTTGTTTTCTTTCAAACTTTTTATAATAATTCTATATCCCATTTTTTTATAAATACTATATAAACCAAATTAAAAATGATAAAAATACACGGTTCTAAAAAGTTGCATTTATTTTAATTATATTTAATGTGTCTGATGTTTTCACACATTTTTGTTTTTGATAAGAAACATCTTTGATAAGACAATGTATGTATCACTAATAATTATATTTATATTGTTTATTAAGCATGTTTTATTCAAAGTTTGCATTTTTATTCTTTGTATATTACATTATAATATCAAAGTATCAAACTAAAAGTTGACGTTTAATATTATACAATAACCTATATTTATTTCATTTTCAGAAAAACTTACATGCATTGTATATGTTAAAATATATGACATCCATTCCAAATTATTACATGCATTTATGTTGGACAAAAATGGTATAAATTATAAATTACTTTATTCAATACTATGAAAAATCAAAGAAAAGAATTGTGATAAAAGAACATCTTTGGCATCTTTAATTAAAAAAGCTTATAAAAATATGCTAGATGTTTTGCTCTATCAAACACAATGTTTAAATTGGAATCTTATATAACACCAGTAATTCTCAGTTATGTAGAAAAATATGTGAAAAATTTTAAGCCGGAACAATCGCAGGTAAATATAAGTTGGATTTTTACATGTAAAATTTATATTAGTTCTTATATGAATAATTTTTGAAACAAAAAAAGCAAATGTTAAATGTATAAATATAGAAATATATGCATTATATTATCCAATTCACAAAATGATATCAATTGTTTTTATTCTAGAGTAAGAAATGAATTAGTATGTATAAAATAAGAAAGTAATACTTTCTAAAATGAAGTTAATAATTCTTTAAGATATTTTAAAAAAGGAAATATATTTTTTTTTTCAGGTATCCTTGTGGGGTGGAGATGCGTCATTTCAGAACCTAGATCTAAGATTAGAAGTATTGGAAGAACAACTGAATCTTCCATTCGTCTTTGTCAGTGGACACATACACGAATTATTGATACATGTTCCATGGGTAAAAATTACTTCTGAACCAATAGTTGTTACCATTAATACTATAGGTAAGTTACAATGTCATAATTCTGTTTAATATTAATTCTGTCTAATAAAAGCTGCCAAATGCTTAATATATAAAGCATGTTATATTTTTTGTCTACAGAGTGTATTTTAAAATTGAAAGATGAAAGCACCACAGAAACTAGTACAGCTACGTTACAGAAAAGAAAGGAGATGGTGCAGTAAGTAGCTATCATAATCTGATGATCGTAAAACTTGGTATTCATTAACAACATAACGTAACACATTAATTTTTTCAGGGAGGAAGCTCCACCTGGGTACATAAAAAGTATAGTTACAAAAGTCATTAATAATATTACAATTCACTGTAACAATCTGATCTTAAAATATGTAGAAGAAGACATTGTGCTTAGTGTAAATGTGAGATTTTTAAGCATGCAAACTGTTGATAATAAATGGGAGCCAGCATTTACCGGTGCGTATTTTTATCCATATAAATTTGAGTAAAATTGATATTTTTTTATTTCATTAATATAAAATTATGATTGAATTATTTTAATATGTATAATATTCATGTTTAGAAGTCAACAATCAAGAAGTGATGCTGAGGAAGGTTATTACTATCCAGGATTTGACATTGTGCTTAGATAAAATGGATGCATCAGGAAAAATAGAGATATATCAAGTAATTAGCTCAGATTAATATTTTGCACGTATATTTTGAAATAAGTAAACAAAATAAGAAATAAGAAAACGTAACTTAATTAAGGAAGAAACTAATTTGAATATTAATTAATGTAGGATCCCGTTTTATATCGATGTTCAATGACCATTCGCATGATTATAAACTATCACAGCAATATTTCGAAAAGAGCATCTATCACACGACTCGATCTTCATTGCGAAAAAATGGAATTTAGTATGACTGAACAGCAAGTACCGATGCTTCTTAGATTGGCGGCTTTAGTACTGGCACTACAAACGAAACAGTTTCCACCATGCAAAGAAAAATCTTCCATTACGGTGGATGAGAGAGAAGACGTTAGTCAAGGTTTAGTATTGTTTTTTATTTCATAGTTTTTATTTATTTATTTTTTGTAAAATTTATTCCATATATATATATATATATATATAGTCAAATGTTAGCAATATTGACAGTGATAGTAAATTTGATAAAATTGTTAATACGCCAGCATTGCTAACATTTTGCTTACTCGGTAATAATATTAATACCTTTTTTTTAGATGATACAAGTCAGATAGCAGGAACTGCTACAGATGCAGTTGGGTGGGGTGGTTGGGCATGGAACATGGTGTCATCTGTTCTGCCCGGTGATTGGGATAACGATTGGTCCAACGAGCAAGAAATAGCATATTCTGGTCATACAATACATTTAGGTGTTTATATAGATGATGCTACTTTAACATTTAAGGTATAACATAATGCGTTTCTTCAAAAGACATCGTTTTTGCGTCATAGATAAGTTGGAAATAATGTTTATGCGTTTTTTTTTACAGACTGTTGAAAGTGTCAAAGAGCAATTATTTTATAAATCTCGGAAACTTAGGTACAAATCGTTTTTATCACTTCGGTTAAACGGAGTTGTGATAGATACTTTACTTCAAGGAATTACAATGACAACCTTCCAAGTGGGAGTGACATGTATACAGCTTTATCCACGAGGAACGTGCAGTTGCGGACATCTAGAAGTTGTTGACGGAGTACAAGTAAAGTGATTAGTTATTATTGCCGGATATATACACATACGCGAAATTAAATGAAATGCTGAATAGCGAATTATTATTGTAGCCACCGCTTTACATAACAGCTGGGAACTTAAATAATGACTATCTGAAAGATTCATTATTTGACCAAGAAGCAGTAGAAAACAAGGGAAAAAAAAGAGACTACAAGCAAGGAATAGATCATCACTTAGCGACAGCCTCGGGTATGATATAATCTATTAAAAAGGCATGCATAATATTTTATGGAAAGTAATAAAGTTTATTCTTTCCAGTTGAAAAATTATTAGAAAGATGTCCGGCGTTTGTGATGGATTATGTTTATTACATGGAATTGCCCGACGATATAACGCCCGAAAGATTGCTCGAGCTTGGGTCAAACTTCGAATACAGGTGGTTCAGAAATTTTTATACGACTATGTGCAAAACGTGGAAAAAAGTCTCTATAAACAACTTACCTTTTGCAGCAATTTTCAGGAACGCAGAGTCGTAAGGTATCTAGCTGGAGATCTAACGGTCAGATTATGCTCTGGCATTTTTCATCGTATTGATACCATTAAAGAAGCCGCAGCAAAATACGATTACGATCCCTACCTTGTAACGAAACCAGGTGAATATTGGTGACGATACTGATGCACTTTCAATTATAATTTTATGCTAAATAAAAATTGTGATTCTGCAAATTTCAATTTCAGATCCTCTTATCGACGAGCTACCCCCCGTTACATTGGAAGAATACGAAGCACTCAGGGAGAACGTATCGATGACAGAAACAAAATTAGTTCTGAAAAGGGCATCGCTGCAATTACAGTTAGCAGATCATTGCGTTATAGGCATGCCACGGCAACGTAAAATTATTGAAACTCGGGTAAGAGATATCTTTATCACATTTTACCTACCGATTGTTTTAAATGTATGAATAACTTGTTTTTCCAGACTACTCCATTAGCTCCAGCTCTTACGGATGATCCTTTTGTGAGCATCGAATGTGATGAAACAAGCGCCACTACAGTTCAGCCTATGTATCCTTTTAGACTCGTGGCTTGTGCGTCAAAATTGACAGAGCTGTCGGTAGAAATGTTTACACAGTGCCATGCGATTACTGATATACAAGTGAGCAAACTTTCATGCGCAATTTTATTATAATACCTTCAATAAGTTTAATATCGAAATGTTCTTATAGGTAATTGGAGCAAAAAGTCAACTGCATTTAACAAAGACATGTGATACTTTAATAGTAATGCCTTATTCAGTGGAAGCTTTTTCAAAAGTTTTACTGTACCCTCAATATTGGCGAGATATGGATATGGTTCAAAAATCATACTCCTTTCAATCAGATAGCATTACTATCACAGGAACTAAGGCAAAATTAATGGCTGCCGTGTCTATAGTAACTTCCGTTCTTAGTTCTGCGGATACTGCAAATCCACTTATGTGTTCCACTCTTTTTAACGACGCCTGTCAGGAAAAATGTATGTAAATGCCAAATATTACATTTTACTAGATCAAGTCAATTACTTTATAAATTTTGAGTGTTACATTTTTAAATATAATTAAAAAATTATTAATGTTTTGCAGGTCCAGTATATTTAGAATTATATCTAGAAAATATAAACTGTAAGAATATATCATCTTCGGTTACAATATCAAACGAAGTGAATGTAAATTCTATAAAAGTATTTGCTCTCAATGATTCTCAGCAAGCCTTTATTCTTTCGGGTCCAGAAAATCATGACAGCAAGTCTGTATATATATTACTAATGTATGTAAGGTAATTTAAGAAATTTTGACTAATTAAATCATATTTTTAGGGATGCAGAAAATGTACCTCTTCTGTCTGCCGTGATACAATTTCCTAAGAATGTCGAACTACAGACACATCCACCACTAGTCTCATTTAAAATCGCCGAAATCAGAGCTTCATTGGATCCTCTTTTCTTCGAATGGCTGGAATATCGTGCCACTTGTAACAGATTGGGAAGTGTACATGTATTACGTTCAGATAGTCAGTTGATCACTGAAGGTACATCGTCTGACACAGGCACGCGGAAAAAGACGTTTCCGAGTTTACATGAGAGTGTGCACAGTTCATCAGACAAAGAGAAACGAAAATCAGCAGTTACGGAAAAATCGAAAACGCTGCGAAATGATGAAACACAAAGGAAAAGCGAATCTAAAATGGAAGGAGAGCAAGAAGTATTAATGAAATCTTATATTTTAAACAAAGAAATGATCTAGAATTTTAGAATACAAGATTTCAATGCATCACAATAAAGTTCTGAGCCCACTAAATGATATGATATAAGATTCTAAGGCATAAAAATGAATAAAATATATGTTTTATAATGTTATATCATAACATTTGTTAGGTTAGGTTAGAATTTTAAAATGTACAATTTCTTTACTGCAATGCACTGAAATCTTATATTTTAAACAAAGAAATGATTTAGAATTCTAAAATATAAGATTTGAATGCATCATAGTAAAGTTCTAGTTCCATCAAATGATATGACATAAGATTCTGAAGCATAAAAATGAATAAAATATATTAAATATTATAATATTATATATATAAAATTAATGTACAACGTTAATGTACATTTTATTCATTTTTATGCTTTAGAATCTTATATCATATCATTTGATGAACTTAGAACTTTACTGTAATGCATTGAAATCTTATATTTTACAATTTTATAACGATCTAGAATGTTAAAATGTACATTTTATTCACATGTAGCGGGCGCAATACTATGTTCTAATAAATATAAATGGTCTATGATAGAACTTACAGAAATCGGGAATACTGGTCAAATTGGCGGAATCGTATTCGTGGTGGTGCAGCCTTGTGCTAAGTGGTTATATAGGACATATTATCATTTACATACCATCTGATACAATGAGCGGTATTGGAGCCGATGGTAAATGATTTGATTATAGACGAATAAAAAAAGGCGGGGATCAAATCGAAAATTGTTTTTAAATCTTTCAATGACTTCTTTTATTGTTGATTCCTGTCTTTTTAATAAATATTAATACAGTTGTAGAAATCATAAAAATAATTAATAAATATATTACAAGGCATAGAACAAGCCAAAGACCAGTCTGTAATAGAAAATCAAGATCTACAAATAATGATAATAAAATTACCAAGTCTTCTTATACATTCGTCTAATCTGAACGCTGAGTTACTTAGCCCATATCTGCAGAAACTTCCGGTTAAACTACCAGAATCTATGTGGACATATCGTAAGTAATAATTCATAAAAAATTTTACTAAAAAGAAAAATAAGTGATGATTTAATACCAATGTTATTACTATTTCAGAAGTACAAAGTTTTCCATGGACATTGAGTCTGATCGATTTTCATTGTTATACATTGCAACAACGGACACAAAAGAATTTTATTAAAAAAGTGACGTTAAATGCTACAGTAGCTCTTACAACTAAAACAGCCGCAACTGCATCAAACACGCTTACTGCCTTAAGCATTTGTGTACATATTGACAATTCTCCTATCATCATTTCACTTTCGGAAGAGCAGGTATTCATTTAAATTCTTTTTGGTTCTCTAAAATAATACTGATATAATATAAACGTGTAATTTTCAAAATGCATTTCTGTTTTTCAGGTCATCTTTATGAGCAATATAGCTTTAAGTCTCATAAAATTATTACGAACTTTATGCCACTCTCGAGAAGACCACGCAATCACATCTCAGATAAGCAACGAAGCGCAAATTGTTCTCCCTGTCATACCTCAAACTCCGTCCACCCCAACTCAAATAATGTATCAAGAAGACACGACTACCAATTCGACTGTATCCACGTCGAAAGACGAGCAAGGATATGGTGAGCTAAATGTCTCTTCAAATGTTTGTCTTTTTCATTGTTCTTGCAGCTAACATACTTTTTTTTTTTTTTGTTAGAAAAGGACGGTTTAGTTGTAACGGCGTGGATTCAGTGGACCATAACAAAAGTGGCAGTAAAATTATACATTATGGGGCAAGCGGACACATCTTTAAAACTGATGTTAGAACTAGAGGATATTATAACATCTTTGGACTTGCAATCAGTTTATATGCAACTGAAAAGTAAAATAACGACAGCTACGATATTTCATTATGTCAGGTAAATTAATTGACTTCTCTAAAATATTTGTACGTATATTTGACTTTAATGAGCGGCAGTTTCTAGAAAATTTGTAATTTTGTCGCACGCAATAGTTGTTTAATTTTTACATGTATTTTGTCACTTAATAGAAGTCCACATGCATTAACTTGGGATGTTGGCGAATATGCGGGGCTAGTGCTTTGCGGAAGGGAAGATAATTTAGAAAAAGGTGATGATTCTGGTTTCATAAGTTTTACACTTACGCGTGCGAAGTCAGGAAATGTCTACACACGTTGGGGTACTCAGAAACGTTACAAGTCTCAAAAGGTAGGATGTTATTTAATTATTCAATATCTTGCTTAAAAAAATTGTTTATATATAGGTTAAAAATACTTCTTCTATATTTGAATATTTAGAAAGAGCTGCTGACGGACTCAACATTAACCACGAATGGCTACATTTCCGAAATACTTATTAAAATGCAAATGGTCGATGTAATCTTGCCGCTTAGTGTAATCACCAAGTATACCCAATTGATAAAGCCTTTTGCATGCCTCAGTTCGTCTGTTGAGAAAAGTGCGGAAATCAATCGCAGTAAAAGTATGGCGACACCATTAACTGGAATAACAAACTTGAATAATGAATCATTACCATTGATACATTTGGAATTCAAAGGATTTCGACTCATGATGCCAGCTTTGACTAATATAAAGA